CCAATTCATATCTTTCAAATATACTCATAACATATGTTGCACAAATTAAATTAATTTTTAGGCATATCGTTTTATTTTATATCTTGTTCTAAAATTGTATTTTATTTAAGTATGGAGGTCAAATGTTATCAATAGCTACCTTCGAAACACAAAACAGAATATACCCGGCGTAGATTCTAATTAGAATTGCTTAAGCGCACAAATTATTAATCCCAACTTAATGCATTTTTATAATTCAACTATTTATCGTAGGCTTATATTATTTTAGTATGTTGGTTTAAAATAGACCTTAAAATTTATCATCATATAAAGTTCTTTTAAAAGGCTTTCGAAAAGGTTTATACTGTAAATCGGATTTTCTGGTGAAAACATAAATTTCTTCTTCAGGAAGTTAATTACAAATAGTGCTTTCTTGTTTGGATTGCTTAGATTTGTCTATTCTTCGTATCGAATAATTGAGAACATTTCAAAAATAAAATCGAATCGGCTTCTCCGTGGCCGTGTGGTAAAGGATTTTCGTTTGAAACTTGAGGTTTTAGATTCGATTTCAAAAGTCAGTTGCGACATCGGGGTTCACTTAAAATATTATTAAAAATAATTTTCAAGCGAAAATAGCTCTTACATTATTTTTATAGCCGTCATAGCTTTATCAATTGTTAAGAATATCATTATATCAAATTCTTTACGGTTGCCTTCTATAATATTACCTTGTTAATAAGTATCATCATAACAGCTCATAGGATTCTCACTTAAATTCTGATTGTTCTACAAAAAAAAAACAAAAGAAATATATATATATATATATATATATAAATAAAAGCAAATTTCAAGTTTTCTGTCACCTTCTTATCTATGTTATCCACATTTGCCGGAGCAAACAAGTTTATCATGACTGTGTTTTGCTCATTATTTGCATGCAGTAAAGGAGTCAATATAACGTGGGAAATACCGAAGCAAATTACCCACAGAATATTATGCGAAAGGATTCTACGAAAAACGAACAACATTGATTCATATGTATTCGTTTGTTTAATCGTATGTCGTTATCCAGAATTATTTATTTTGACATTTAGCTAACGATTAATTAGGTACTATAAAAAGTTATATATTTTCTTGTTTACATCAGTCATTCAACAGTGCGCGCATCACTTATTATACTAGAACTTATAATTTTTGTTTTTGTGAATTGAAATAGGTAAGTTCATAATTGTATAGTTTAAATTTTCACTACAAGTTATCAGAGCACTCACACGAATATAATCAAGTTTATGAACACAGATTATTCTAATATTGTCTAGGAATATAATATTGAATATACTTGTTTTACGAAGAGAAAATCTGAATTAAAACTAGTGGGGCGCATGGCATCGTGCCGTAAGGCAAATTGCTGGTACTTCCCGTACTGATTTATTTTTTTTAAATTAACATTTTTGAAAAAAAAAAATTAGATTTTTGAGGAGCTATAATTTTTTGACAAAAATTTACTTATTTTGAAAAAAAATGTTTTCTCTATTTTGAAATATTTTGGAGATTGTGAGCTTTTTTTCAAAGCTATCGTACTGCTTCAACTGCATAGAGACAAAATATCGAAGCGCGTAAGCGCCGCGTCGACTTCTAATGGATAAACATCGGTACGGAACCAATGGGAATGTAAACAAAATTTTTACTTATTGTTAAAATCTCTATAAAATATCTGATAATTTAATGTGCATATGTCTAATGATCATTTTTGACTGCCAAATGGCATTTTTTTACTTTTTCCACTAGATCTCCGAAACCACTAGACCTGAAAAAAATCATGAAAATTTGATCAATTCTTCATATTGTCAATACAATGTTTTTTGAATGATTAAAATCGGACCCTCCGTTCTCTTAAAAACTGAGTTATCCTTGCTTATGCCAAAAACTAATCAGAACGTCTCCTTATCAACAGCAATCGAATGTTTTTTGAATAATCGAAATCGGTTGAACCGTGTTCCCGAAATCGTCGACGAAAATTTGTATCCGCATACACATACATACATACACACACACATGCACACACACTAAAACATTAATTTTTTGTAAGGTATGCCAAAATGTTCAGAAACCTCTGAAACGTAAAGATATATAAAAAAATTTCATTTTCGAGTTTTTTGCGATTACTATAACTTACTCTACGAGAAGTTAATGCATGACATTGCGATTTTTTTGGCTAAAACGTGGACGATTTTTTTCGCTTTTTTTCCTAATTACAAAGAAACGGCTCCGCCGATCGTCAAATGAAACTGAGGGACAATAGTCCTCATCAAGATAAATAGAATGGCTTTGAATCGAACTTATGAAATCGGTTTAGGCGTTTTTGAAAAAACGTCAATGAAATGTCTAATTTTGCCAAAAAAACTTTGGTCATTTTTTTGATATTTTTTAAAATTGAACGACTTGTCGTAGGGCTGCAATATTTTAGCATGTTCTAGAAGACCATGATATATATCGTCAAAAAAAATCATAACTAGTGGTGTATGGCATCGTACCTTAAGGCAAATTGCTGGAACTTCCCGTACCGTAACTGAAATGAGAAATATTAAATGTTTTCAAATAGATTAAATATTGTAACATTGTCTAATATTTATAAGAATTATATAAACTGAATTGCAAAATTGAAATTATTCGTTTAAAGTATATTAGAAATTTTGTCAGAATTTAAATTAAAATCTGAATTATTTTCGATATACAAAAAAAAATTAAAAAAAAAACAAATTTGAAACAATTTTTTTTTCCAAAAGTAATTATTTTGTTGAAACAAGCAGAAAGTTCTTTGAATCATTCAAATCGGACGCTTAGTTCTCTCAAAAACTGCCATTTTTTGCACATTTAGCTCTGTATCTTCGAAATAGTGGGACCTGTCTTTACCAAAAACTAAACACCCCATCTCCCAATCATTACAAACTGGACGTTCTTTAGATCATTCAAATCGGATACTCCGTTCTCTCAAAAACTTTATTTGTATTTTCTGCACTCTTTGCTCCGTATCTCCGTAACGGCTGAAACTGCCTTTCCCAAAAACTAATCTCCATATTTCCCTATCAATAGGAATCGAATGTTATTTGAACCATTCAAATCGGTAGATCCGTGCGCCCGAAAACGTGGACAAAAAAATATGGACACACAAAACACACACACATACATACACATTCATTTTTTCTGAGGTATGCCAAAATGTTCAGAAACCTTCAAAACGTCGAGAAATGCAAAAAAAAATCATTTCCGATTATCGGCCCATTACTGTAACTACACTACGGGAAGTTAAAAATCGTCGCAATTTTTTTAACAGTTAATTATAAGGACACGGGTCAGCGGGTCTTTACCGAAAACGAATAACTATATTTGCTAATCAATATATTTCGAACGCTTTTTAAACTTTCAGCATCGATTCAGGATTGTGAGCTAAAACGTGGGATTTTTTTTTTCACTTTTTTAACTTCCCACAGGGTAAGTTATAGTAATCGCAAAAAAATCGAAAATGAAAATTTTTGCATTTCTAGACGTTTTGAAGGTTTCTGAATATTCTGGCATACCTTAGAAAAAATGGATATATATATATATATATATATGTGTGTGTGTATGTGTGTGCGTGTGTGTGCGGATACAAATTTTCGTCGACGATTTCGGGAACACCGATCAACCCATTTGAATAATTTAAAAAACATTCGATTCATATTGATAAGGAGACGTGCTGATAAGTTTTTGGTGAAGGCAGGTCTAGCCGTTCCGAAGATACGGGGCAAAAAGTGCCAAAAATGGTAACTCGGTTTTCAAGAGAACGGAGCGTCCGATTTTAATAATTTAAAAAACATTTTACTTGTATTGACAAGATGAAGAATTGATCAAATTTTCATGAAGGCAGGTGTAGCGGTTTCGGAGATCTAATCATAAAAGTAAAAAAAATGCCATTTGGCGGTAAAAAATTATCATTAGACGTATGCACGTCAAATTATCAGATATTTTATAGAGATTTTAACAATAAGTATGTATTTGGCGGTAAAAAATTATCATTAGACATATGAACGTCAAATTATCAGATATTTTATAGAGATTTTAACAATAAGTAGGAATTTTGTTTACATTTCTATGGGTTCCGTACCAATGTTCATCCGTTAGACGGCGACGCGGCGCTTATGCGCTTTGACATTTCGTCAATGCAGTTGAAGCAGTACGATTGCTTTGAAAAAAAGTTCAGAATTTCTAAAATATGTCAAAATAAAGAAAACATTTTTATTTTTTGAAAAAAAAGTAATTTTTTGTCAAATTTATAGTTTTTCAAAAATCTAATTTTTTTGAATTAAATTTTTTTCAACAGTGTTAATCTTTAAAAAAAATAATAATTTTTGGTACGGAAAGTTCAAGCAATTTGCCTTAAGGCACGATGCCATGCGCCCCACTAGTTGCTATTTACAAAGAAACGGCTTGGCTGATCGTCGCGCAGAAATGACAAGCGCAAGTCTTTATCAAGTTACATCGAATGGCTTTGAAATGTTTCAAATCGGTTTTTAAGAAAACATCGTTAATGGGGTCAAAAATCGGCTCACATACACACGCACATACTTTTTTTCCTTTTGGTGACATTCGATTTAGAAAGGCTTGAAACCAGAAATAATAAAATTTTGTTTTTTTAAAATCAACGTTGACATCGATCGAGCTATTTGTTGATAATTTACTGAAGGATTAGCTTCGAGTATTCTTAATATTCTCTTTTCGTGCGCATTTTAAATGCAAAAATCAATTCTTTTTAATGTTGATTCATCTTGGGAATCGGAATACTCAGGGTTTTTATTGAGCAAAAATTATATGGAAAACTCAATCGAAATAATAAACGATAAGGCAAAATAAGAATCTCATTAAAAAAACATTTCTCATATAAAACATATGCATTATTGCAGTTTTTTTTAACTTTAAATTAAATTAAATTAAAGACACAGCGCACAAACATGTGAATTCAAAATGAAAATATTTTATTATAGAAATGTGGCGCCTTGTGACATTTGTTGCATTGCTGGCAATTACGGCTTATGGAGTACCTGTAGACACGATTACCGAATCTTTAGTTCTTACAACTACTGATGTCCCTGCAACACCTGTTAAAATATCAGAGGTAAGATGATTTTATTTAGCAATATCGATTAATTTAAGTAATATATAAATATTCATTTTATGATGCTTTCTTCTAGGCCGATAATGTCAAAAAAGGCTCTGCAGATATTTATGCTTTTAATGTTTTATCTAGAATTGGAAGTAGATATGCTACTACTCTAGTATCATCTAAGTTGAAAAACAATGCGGATACTGCGAGAACTGCAGCATTCAGTGTAGTTCTGCCTGAAACAGCATTCATCAGCGGCTTTTTAATGTAAGTTTACTAATATAAAGAATCTTTTTTCATGCGTAAGTTTTATAACTATAGATAAACTACATTTGAATCTTATTCACTTTTTTTCAAATAAATTTAAATTTTTGTGGAAATCTTCTGGAAGACGTCAGATTAGACATCAGAATCGCGTTTATAGGTTCAACAAATTCAATCATTTAGATTTTCCAAGTTTTGTTAAAAAAACTTGTTAACATAAACACCAACGCTGATGTCATTTGTCAAATGTGAGATATTCTTGAACTACTAAATTAATACCAATAATCTGGGTGTAGGGTTTTAGAGGTGCAGCTTTTAATTCAAATATTTTGCTCAAAACGCACATTACTCAACTAAGGTTTAAATATCAATTTATTTTATTTATTTTATTTATTTTTTTCTCAAATATAGCTCACAGAATAATACCTTAACTAGTTGGTTTGGTATTTAGCCTTGAGGCAAGTTACATGAACTTCCCGATATGTGTAAATAATCGACTTAATAAAAAAAAATGTGTAAATAATATACTTCATCAATCCTACTTTAAAAAAAACGATAATAATTTTAGCAAAGTTTGACGAATTTTTAAAATTAAACTACTAGTAGTAAGGCCGTAATATTACAGTAAGTTCTATAAGACCATGATGTATATCGCCAAAAAAAGTTCCATGAAAATCGGCTTAAATTTTTTTTTCAACAGTTCATTACAAGAAAACGGCTCGGTAGATTTTCACCTAAAATTAATCAGTACCATTCCCAACTAATATCTTTCGAACAGTTTTTGATTTTTTAAAATCGGTTCGGTAGGATGAGCTTAAATGTGGACGAAAAGTTTAACACTTTTTTTCAAATTGCAAAGAAACGGCTTGGCAAATCGTCACACAAAACTGACTAACGATAGTCCTCACCAAAATACATCAATTGGCTTTTAAATTTCTAATATCGGTTCAGGCGTTTTTGAGAAAACGTCGATCAAAGGTCTAACTTTGACAAATGCCAAAAAAACGATACCAATTTTTGCAAACTTTGACGAATTTTTAAAGCTGAACCCAGTTGTCGTAGAGCCGTAATATTTTAGTATGATCTAGAAGATTATGGTTTCTACCCCCAAAAAAATAATCATAAAAATCGTCGAAATTTTACTCTACCAAAAACTAATCAGGTCGATTCCCAACCAATATCATTCGAACGATTTTTGAATTTTCAAAATCGATTCAGAATTGCGGGCTAAAACGTGGACGAAAAACTTTTCACTTCTCTGCTATTTACGAAGAAACGGATTGGCCGATCGTCGCACAAAACTGACCAACAATAGTCCTCATCGAGATACTATAGAAAAATAATTGTGAACGCGAAGATAGCTTAGGAATATTAAACGATATTTGGTTAAGAATTAGAGGACAGTCTATAGCATTATTGAAAAGTATAAATATGAACATAATAGTACTGTTAAAGCGACGTGTGGCAAGAGAAGGTATACCGATTTTTTTTTAACAAAGTGTTGTGGTGTCAAAGCCACGTTTAGGGTAAATTTTGTATGTTTTATAATAAAGATATTTTAGAAATTTACGTTGAACTTTGAACTGACGAGGATACCCAAATGATCGATTTATATTTTAACTTGGAACATATATTTGCATAGTACATGCAAAGAAGTGCATTATTTGAACTGAATTCTTTACAGCTTCTCAGTATCATTCTTAAATATTTATGTGATTTATTACAAATATCAGCTATATGATCTGTAAAAGACAAACCAGAATCAAACTGGTGGGGTGTATGGCATCGTGCCTTAAGGCAAATTGCTGGAACTTTCCGTACCGTAACGAAATGTTCGAGGAATATTAAATGTTTTCAAATAGATTATTATAAATAAATACTGTAACATTGTCTAATATTTATAAGAATTATATAAACTGAACTAAAAATTTGAAAATATTTGTTTAAAGTATATTAGAACTTAAGTCAAAATTACAATTAAAGTCAGAATTATTTTCTATATACAAAAACAATATTTTTTGTAAAAAAAAATTGAAAATAAAAAATTTGAACAAAAATTTTTTTTTCCAAAAGCAATTATTTTCTTAAAACAAGCAGGAAGTTTTTTGAATCATTCAAATCGAACGCTTAGTTCTCTCACAAACTGCCATTTGTTGCACAATTAGCTCTGTATCTCCGAAACCGCTGGACCTGCCTTTGCCAAAAACGAATCACCTCTTGTCATTATGAATTGAATGTTTTTTGGAACATTCAAATCGGATGCTCCGATCTCTCAAAAACTCAATTTCTATTTTCTGCACTCTTTACTTCTTATCTCCGAATCGGCTGGACCTGCCTATAAAGAGCTAAATGTGCAAAAAAATGGCAGGTTTTGAAAGAACTAAGCGTCCGATTTGAATGATTCAAAGAACTTTCTGCTTGTTTTAAGAAAATAATTGCTTTTGGAAAAAAAATGTTGTTCAAATTTTTTATTTTCAATTTTTTTTTACAAAAAATATTGTTTTTGTATATAGAAAATAATTCTGATTTTAATTGTAATTTTGACTTAAGTTCTAATATACTTCAAACAAATATTTTCAACTTTGCAATTCAGTTTATATAATTATTATAAATATTAGGCAATGTTACAGTATTTATTTATAATAATCTATTTGAAAACATTTAATCTTCCTCTAACATTTTATTACGGTACGGGAAGTTCCAGCAATTTGCCTTAAGGCACGATGGGTTTGATGTACATATGTCTAATGATTATTTTTGACCGCCAAATGGCATTTTTTTACATTTTTTACTAGATCTCCAGAACCGCTAGACCTGCCTTCATGAAAAATTAAATTATGAGCAGACGTGCTGATTACTTTTTGAAATAGGCAGGTCTAGCCGTTCCGAATATACGGGGCAAAAATTGCCAATAACGGTAACTCGGTTTTTACGGGAACGAAGCGTACGATTTTAATAATTCAAAAAAGATTTTAGTTGTATTGATAAGATGAAGAACTAATTATATTTTTGGGAAGGCAGGTTTAGCGGTTTCGGAGATCTAGTAAAAAAGGTATTTGGCGGTCGAAGATGATCATTAGACACACGCACATCAAATTATCAGATATTTTATAGAGATTTTAATAATTTGTGTTTTTTTTGGCAATTTTGTTCCCATTTCTATGGGTTTCGTAACATTGTTTGTCTGTTAGACGGCGACACGGCGCTTCGACTGTAATTATTTAAAAAAAAATCTTTTTTAAAAAAAATATTTTTGGTACAGGAAGTTCCAGCAATTTGCCTTAAGGCACGATGCCATACACCACTAGTTTTTAATTTTTAACTTCCCGTAGGGCAAGTTATAGTAATCGCAAAAATTGTTAAAAAAATGTCATTTGGCGGTCAAAAATGTTTATTGGACATATGTACATCAAATTATCAGATATTTTATAGAGATGTTAATATTGTGTACACATTTCGTGTTAATTTTTTTGGATTCCGTACCAAGATTTTAATTTTGAAGTTTATTTATATGGTTCAAACAAATGTCCTCAACATTTTCGATAGTATGGAATAACCGATTTATAAAATTGAAAAATCGGTTCGTACTCGATCGCGAGGCGTTTTTGCAAAATTTGCCATAAGGGTGTAAAAACGGTTATGCAGTTTTTGAGAGAACGGATCATCCGATTAGATTAATTCAAAAAACATTTTGCATGAATAGACGGTGTGCAAAAAATGCATTTACAGAAAATTTAATAATTTTGAAAACTTTCAAAAAAAATCATAATTTTCAAAAAAAAACTGATTTATACAAAAAATCAAATTTAAAAAAAATGGACTTTTGTGATAATTTAAAAAAAAATCGAATATTTTCAAAAATTTCCAAATTCTCGAAATATTTAGAAAAACCGTTTTTGAAAAAATTTCTAAATTTTCAAAAAAATTCTAAATTATACAAAAAATCAAATTTAAAAAAAATGGACTTTTGTGAACGTACACATAAGTTGTTCATAAAATACGTTCGTCGCCCAATTTATAAAGCACTTATAAGTTTACAGTATGTAATAAATAATCTATTTCGAAATTATTCAAAACAGTTATTGATTATTTTCATTCCTCGATTATTTAATTACGGTACGGGAAGTTCCAGCAATTTGCCTTAAGGCACGATGCCATGCGCCCCACTAGTTGTTATTGTTTTTCCTGGTATATATATGGGAGACCTCTAATATTATACTCTAATACATTTGGACACTATTTCGGCGTTCTAAATGGGCCAAAATATGCTTTTATAAAATCCAATCTTTGGATCAATGCACATCAGAATTCATTTTATACGTATGGTTTTTCGGCAAAGTATCTTTTCTTGATCCCTAGAATCCGAAAATCATATGTGCCTATGCGACTTTTTTACCCATACAAATCAACCCGCCATATATATATATATATATATATATATATATATATATATATATTTATTATGGAACTTTATTTATTTATTTATTTATTTATTTATTATACGCCAATCGTCTATATACAGTTAATTACATAGTAATGTAACATAATAATGTTAAACTTTGTTATTTTTACAAACATATACAAACACACATACGAGCACCTATACATACACTCGTACATACATACGTCTGTACATGCACTTATACGTAGACTCAAACACACTAGTAATGCTAACAAATTCTAATAAGTATTATTCCCTTTGACAATGTTGATAAATGTAGTATGTGATGAATTAAAAAAGTTTAGTTTTGAGCACTGTTCGTTGACCACCATTGCTACTCTGTTCATTGGACCGTTCAATATATAGTTTTTTGTCGTTTTTGAAGTCTGCACAATACGATTTGTTCTTAATAAGTTGTCTCGGGCATATCAAATTAATTTTTTCTAGAATCTCAGGGGAATCAATTGAGCCATTTACTGTCTTATAAAAAAAATAAGATCAGTAATTTGCTGTCGTTTGCTTAGGTTATTTTCCTCGCATTTCAGTAAAAAATTTCCGCTTTCATGTGCACTAATTCTTTTCGATTGCACTCTATTAAGTTTGTTGCTTTGATAATTCAATGTGAGGTGTCCAAACTATGGAGATTATAGATATACTCGTATTCTAGAATAGGCCTGACGAGTGTGGAGTACAGAATGTATAGTGTGTCTATACTGTGGAAATCTCGACCACTCCTGATGATGAATGCTGAATATATATTTATATATATATATATATATATATATATATATATACGAGTATATATATATATATAATATACATATATATATATATATATATATATATATTATGTGCTTTAACGAAAAGTTTCAACATACAATTTGATGTCATCACCAGTGGAACTTGGTGCGTTACATCTAAGAATGTGTACACAGCACAAAATTTAGCACTAACATTAATACAACTAACCTGCCAAAATTATGAATTTTGTTGTAAATAAGAAAAATAATGAAAGTTTTGTTCCACAAAAATGTAGAAAAATTAAAGTATCTTGGCACAGAAGCATGTACCTCTAAATGAAAGTGAAAATAAATGAATAGATTATATAACGAAATATTAGAAATGTTAGAAAATTCAAAAGTCCCTAAAAAAAACTTAAAAAAAATTCAATTACAAAATTTATTTCTTCGTCTGAAAAGAAATTTATAAAATCACATTTTTTGATAAAATCGTTTTTAGTGAAAAAGTGTTCAAATAATCTAGGTCATTAATTCTGTTTTTTCTTAACCCCTTTTTAATAAAAAAAACTTCCAAATTTTTATTTTATCAACATTTCTAATATTTAGATATATAATTGTTTATTTTTATTACTTTCAGTTTTATTATATTGTCATACTTCTGAAATGTTATTTCTTCTTTAATTTCATTCATTTTATATAAAAAAACACATTTTTCTGCTTTTCTTAAATATATTGTTTATTTAAATCATATCAAGATCATGTTTCTTGACAGATTTCCTAAAGATGGAACGTACCTAGTTCCGAAACGTCGACAGTAAATAAATAAAAAAAATGTTTTTTTAAAAAAAACTTGTTTTTTATTACTTTTTGGATTCTTTGTTGCACGCTCTACAATATATATATATATATATATATATATATATATATATATATATAAACAGAAGAAAAATTATTGACTGTTAATTTCAGGGAAATTGAAGGTAAGGTGTATAAAGCGCATGTAAAAGAAAAGGAAGAAGCGAAAAGAGTGTATAATGCAGCAGTTCAAGGAGGACTAGCGGCAGCACATGTGGCTCTAAGGTAAATATGTTTTAAATATATATAAATAGTATAACGAGTTCACCAATCATGTTGATAGTAATTGATTGTTTACTTTCACTTTTTAAAAATTTTTGCTTTAAGTTTTGAACGCTTAACCCCTTGCAGGTGGTAACGCATGTGTAACCCTCATATTTTCCTCGAAAACTTACTATTAAGGAATACTTTTCAAACTATTTTACATTAAAATTTTGTTGCATTATCTTGAAATATTTTCTCTCGATAGCGTTTACCATTTATTACATATAGGATCCATCGAATTGATTTAAGTTTGCAGAAAACATTTTAAGATTTTTTTTTTCTTTATTTCATTAATTATAACAATCAGAGTCAGAATGACTCTATGAGTTACAGAGCTGATATAAAAAATAATATATAATAGATTAAAATAAAAAGTAAACAAAAAATAATAATAATTACAACTCACATTTTAAGATGATGCAATAAAATCTCCATAGATTCAAAAATATCGATAACTAGTTGGTATTGGTATCTTGCCTTGAGGCAAGTTACATGAACTTTCCGATATGTGTAAGAAGTGTAAGTAATGGACTAAATCAATAAAAAAATAATTATCAATGAGTAATTAAAAGAATTTTGAGTGGATTTATTACACATTATTGAAAACGAACGAACACGTTAACTCGGAATATTTTCTAAAAGCAAATTCTCAAGAATATTTTTTTTATAATTGAACCAGTTTCCGTAGGACTTTAATGGTTTAGTATGATCATTAAGACCAAGTACACCATGTAAATCGTCTAATTTCAATTTTAACAAACGTCAAAAAAACTACTCATTGTCTCAAACTTTCATGAATTTTTAAAATCAAACTACTAGTCGTATTTTCAGAAAACGTCGATTTATGGCAAAACGTCTGTTCACACGCAAAAACACCTAAACACACACACATCGTTTTCCAAATTTGGCCTTATTCGATTTAGAATGGCTTGAAACGTCGAGAAAACATAAAATTAGCTAATCGGATTTTTTTACGAAAACATAAACTTCTCCTTCGGCAAGTTAAAAAGAATCCAGTTTTTCAGAATTTTGGATAAATTCTAAATTTTGAAAAAAATCTTAATATTAAAATATTAATTTTTTTAAAAGTCGATTATTTATTAACTAGAAAAAAATGTTATAAACATATACAATATACGATATTTGTAGAATACGCTTGTCGTGTAATTTAATAAACATTTATAAACGTACAGTTTTTATAATAATCATTTGAAATGTTAGAAAGTATTAATTATTAATGGAGAATAATTATTAGAATTAATTATTGAATAACTTTCATTGAATATTGATTATTTTTAATCCTCGAATGTTTAATTACGGTACGAAAAGTTGCAATAATTAGTCTTAAGGCACAATACCATGCAAGATGCACTCATGGATCTTTTAACGTCTGTATTACCACTAGATTTTTTTGTTTTAGTTATATAATTTGAAAAATATAAAAAAAACTGATATATCAAATATACTCTATCTTTCAAAACTATTTATCATGTATTTATGGCGACGGATGTTAATTAATATTGTTTTATTTTAAAAATTATTTATTGTCTTCTCCAGTGCAAGAGATTCGAATAGATTTACTGTAGACGTGTCAGTTCCAGCCACACAAAAAGCAACATTTAATTTAACATACGAAGAACTTCTGTCCAGGAGGGTGGGCGTCTACAATCACGTGCTCAACTTGAATCCTGGGCAAATTGTAAGAAAACATTTATTTATTATTATTCTAATTTAATTAATTTCTTCTACTAATAATTAATGTTTTATACTAATTTAATTAATTTAGTATAGTTTTGTAGTTAAGTGTGCTGATTGATGTTGTCGTAAAATATTATTAACTTCCCGTAAGGTAAATTAAAGTAATCGCAAAAATATCGATAATTAAAAATTTTATATATCTTTACGTTTCATATGTGGAGTAGCATTTTGTATAGCTTTTTTCAGAGTATTTATGTAAAAATTTAAGTTATTCTCTATATCTGCTTCAGATTTCAATCTGACTTTAAGATCTAATTTAGAATCGTAAATAATATTTACCAAATATATATATAAAATTTTTAATTTTTGATTTTTGAACATTTTTGCACACCTTAGAAAAAAAAGGATGTATATGTGTGTGCGTGTGTGCGGATACAAATTTCCGTCGATGATTTTGGGTACACGGATCAACCGATTTGAATAATTCAAAAAACATTCGATTCGTATTGATAAGGATCTAGCCATTTCCAAGGTAGGGGGCTAAAAGAACTAAAAACAATTCGGGGCAATTCAGTTTTGGAGAGAACGGAGCGTCCGATTTGAATAATTCAAAAAACATTTTATTTGAATAGACACAGTGAAGTACGTACAGTTTAATTCAATTGAATTTTATTATATTTTTTTAATTTCTGATGCGGGATGTTATACAATTTACCTTAAGGCACGATGCTATGCGCCATGCATTTTTACTTTTTTCACACGATCTCTGAAACCGCTAGAGCTGCCTTCCCACAAAGTTCACTAGTTTCCTATTTTATCAAAACTTATAAATTTTTTGAAAAATTTCGACGAAAAATTGTTCCCGCACAGATATATCAATTTTTTAAGGTATGCAAAAAATGTTGAGAAACCTTTGAATAGTAAAGATATATAAAAAATTTCATTTTTCATTTTTTTCGATCATTATAACACACCGCACCGGAAGTTATAGTTAATTAAAATATTAGCAGGTTGTAATTAAACTGTATATGAAAATGTTTTTTGTTATTTTAAAATAATTATTTTTAGGTGAAAGAAATGTCTGTAGATGTGTTTATTGATGAAAACCGTCCGATCACTACATTACGTGTTCCTGAATTGCGATCTGGAAATGAAGTTACTCCCGACGAAAGCGATCCAAGTAAGTAATATTTTAGTTAACTTTTTCTCATAAATCAAATTGAAAATATTGTATATTGTCATCTTATCAATTGCACTAGATAATTCTGTTGCCACAATAATGAGAGACGAAAAGGATAAAACTAAGGCACATATAAGATTTGCACCGACACCAGATCAACAAGCCCGATTAATGATGCAATTAGTGGTATGTTCAGAAAATGAAAGAGTGATTATAAAAATTTTAATGCATCGGTAAATTGGTATTTGTATGAAGTTTCTATTTATTATTTAATATCATTATGCTTTCACTGATGAAAAAGATGATCTTATCGGTTCAGTTTTACTCTGGATATTGCAAATAGATCTTATGTTTATGATTTTTACATCTCTTTATCATAAACTTATATTTTATACATTTTAAATTTATAATAATTTCAAATACAAACAAAAATAATGATTGATCGAATATTGTTATTCTTAATCATTAGGAGAAAGAAAAGAAAGATGATCATCCTACATTCAATCCATTCGTTGTTAATACGGAATCATCAAATGTAAATTCGGGTCTTAAAGGGCAGTTTGTTGTTCAATATGATGTTGAAAGAGATCCCGCCGGTGGAGAAGTTCTAGTGAGTATTATATAATTAAAACCGTTAGATTAAATATTTATACAAACATTGGATACAATAGTATATTAAACAGATTTTTTTTTCAACTTATAGGCTGTTGTGATGATTTTTCTTAATTAACTACATGTTTTTTCAGACGGCTCCGGTTTGCTTAGCTCAATTTAATGCATTTTATTATTAGTCTTTTTCAAATTTATTAGAATAGTCATAAACTCAGTTGAAATGAGACAAAAAATGTGGCTTATGCTTATTACGTAACTTATATAACTATTGTCTTTTAGCATTAATAGATAATGAATATCTAGAACACGATCTCCAAAGTTTATATATCAGTGTATATATATATATATATATATATATTTCAAAAATTATTTTTTTAGATCTCAAAAGCCGAACTATTATTTTCGTACAAAATAATCAAATCGATTATTCTGTTACTCTTTTATATCTATCATCATGCAATATCTATTATTTAAAATTATTTAATCAAATATGTTTAATTATGTTTTAATTACATAATATGTTTACTTTACTATTTTAATGACAAAGTTTATCATAATGTAAGATAACAGACTTGCATTACATAACCATAATATACGTATCATTCTAGGAAAGATGTCATTGATGATTTTTTTAAATTACTCTTATAAATAATTTGTATATATATATATATATATATATATATATATAAATATATATTATAGGACCGGTCCTACCTTAAATGCAATGCATGCGAAAAATACTGGCGCACGCCTTAGGAGGCGGAAAAGAAGTTATCTAGTGTCCAATCTCGTAAGCGCAAACGTGCGAAAGATTAAAAAAACAAGCAGGACCTCTTAACAAATTTGTAACTACAATTTGAAACGCGGCAATTAGATTCAAATGTAGTTATCGACGAAACTAAGAAAACGAATTTTTTAAAAAACGAAAATATTTCGAAATTTAGATGACCCAGCTGAATATGACATTATTGACGCAAAATTGCCAGTTGATTTAGATAAAACGGAACTTGTTACAAAAATAGATACAAAAAAAAAAATTGAGAAAAATGTAAAATGGGGAGTCAATTTCTAGAAAATGGCCCATTTATCCCGAAAAATTGAACCATGATTTGTTTTTGTTGCAAACTTTTCGTATCTAATAGTAGCTTTATAGAAGGTTTATACCACTATATCAATATAACATTACATTGTACATCTGATAAGCCGATGCAAATAAAATAGATACAGATGATAATTATTGTTCCATTTATTTCTTTTTGAAAATCAATTTGTAAAAATAAGGATAATAATTTTGTGCACTGTTGATACAACTGATTTAATGGAAGCTGGAATAATGTTCAACAATAACGGATCATTTGGAAAACTTTTTTTTGATTACATGCGTGGTTAGGGTTTACGGAAATAAAGCACATATGAAATATTGTAAGATTTTGAATTTGATGTTGACATATGTATTAAAAAAAGTCTAATAATTCGGTTCACATCAATTTTTCTATTTTGAAAAATATTTGAGTGAATAAACGAGAAACTTATAATACGCTTTTCAATTTATATGAATGAAAATGATTTATACAACGTGCAGACTGCAAATTCTTACACGAACTGCCGGTCGAGCGGCGCGTCTTTAAAACGGTCGCACGGCGCGCGCTTTGCGCGACTTGTGCTCCAAAACATGTAATATCTTTCGTAATAGCCTCTCCATCGAATTGTAAAAAGAATTTTGTAGTAGATAAAACAAGAAACAACATGATTTTTTTCTCAATGGATTTATGTCTGGGCAAGCGTATGTAAAACCAATGTAAACAATCAATTGTTATTATTGTTAAAATAATTGCAAAAACTTTTTTTTTAATTACTTAAAAGTTGAGTTCATAATGAATATAATAAAAAACAATACTGATCTGTTTAACACAACTGGAGATAATTAACATAATGTAGAGGAAGTTCATAAAAATTGAGAAAATCAGCAATATTTTAATCGTAAATATTAACGAAAGAAAATTTTGTCGGCAAAATCCTGAAAAACGTGTCAAATGATTTTATCTATAATATCTATAAAAAAAATTAGCCAATTATAAAATGTCAAGGTATGGTTTGTGTACATCCATTTTTTTTGAGGTGTGCCAAAATGTTCAGAAAATACTAAAACGTAAAGATATGCAATTTATTTAAGATTATTTTCGATGTTTTGACGATTACTATAACTTTGCTCTCCGGAAGTTAAAAACTAAAACAATTTGGTCAAAACATTTTGTAACAGCAACATCAATTTAATTTCAAAAATTCTAACCGATAACGCTTATCCATTAAAACTTTTCAACATCATAACTAGCAACAGACGCGCGAACATTTTGAATAATATTTACATCATTGCATTCACATATAAATCTGGACTCTGACATATAAACAACTTTAGTATAACGACTAGTACCAAAGTTTTACCAAAACCGACACTCCTTTTAACTTCGCACGACTTAGAAATCTCGTAAAATTCGAACAAAATTTTAAACAAAGAATTATAAAAAAATCTTTTTTGACTATTCAAAACGATAGAATAGTAAATAAATGCAGTGAACTCGACACGCTGTGCGAATCAAATCTCTTTTATATATATAGTATTTCCAAATTTCTCACAAAACAATAAAAGTGTTACGCAAAGGATTCGCAATTAGTTTCACACATGTAGAATGATTGGTAAAAATATAAAAAAAAAAAATTTCTCCATTATGTCTTCAACAAGTTTACGGACAACACATATATTACACACTATCTAATTGTGATTCTTTAATTTAGTATTTTGTGAAATATTGTTTATTTACATTCAGCTCTGGAAGTTTGTATTAAATTAAACCATTTGATAATGCAATGTAAAATATAATTCAATAATGGTTATTTTCCACTAATTTTGAAGAATAAACTGGCATTTTCTATGAATTTATCGATGAATGGATATTATTATATGAAGGTGCGGGGTTAAAAAGGTCCACCACTGATATCTCAAAAACCAGTAAAGTACAGCATTGCTCAACAACAATATGTGAAAGTAAAGACAAAAAAATTATACAGCTGTCAGCTTGATTCATACGACTTTGCTATCGGGAGATAAACGGCAATCTTTGATAATCCATATCAAAAAGTATTTTCTTTTCCTGTTAGTTTTTTGGGTTTCGAGCACTGTGATTTAGTTCACGAGACCTTAATATAAATATTAACTATACGTTATTTAATTGTTTTATAAAATGTAATGTTAATTTTAAGTGAGATTCAACAGTTTTTTTTATATAACTACTTTAAAAGCTTACACTTGGGCGTGGTAAGCTTTAAAAGTGGTTATATAAAAACTGAACATCTACCCTGGAAAGGTATAAAAAATAAAAAAATAGCAAATAAAAAAGTAAACTAGTGGGGCAAATTGCTGGAACTTTTTGTACCAAAAATTATTAAAAAAAAAATTAACATTTTTGAAAAAAATAGATTTTTGAGTAACTATAAATTTTTGAAAAAAAAAAAATTAATTTTTGGCAAAAAAACTTCTGGAATATAATATATTTTTTCAGTTTGAAATATTTTGGAAATCTTGAACTTTTTTTCAAAGCAATCGCATTTGCTTTAGCTGCATAGAGACGCAATATCGAAGCGCATAAGCGCTGCGTCGCTGTCTAACGGATAACATTGGTATGGACCCATAAGAATGTAAACATAACTTATCGTTAAAATCTCTATAAAATGTCTGATAATTTTATGTGCATATGTCTAATGATCATTTTTGTCGCCAAATGGCATTTTTTTTACTTTTTTTACTATGTCTCCGAAACCGCTGGACCTGCTCTTACCAAAAATTTAATCAAATCTTCATCAGTAAAATATTTTTGAATTATTAAAATCGGATGCTCGGTTCTCTTAAAAACTGAGTTACAGTTTTTGGCACTTTTTGCCCCGTATCTTTGGAATGGCCAGACCTGCTTTCGCCAAAAACTAATCAGCATGTCTCCTTATTAATACAAATCGATTTTTTTGATTTATTCAAATCGGTTGATCGGTGACATACACACACACACACATACACATATACACACATACATAAATACACACACACACACATATATCCATTTTTTCTAAGGTATGCCAAAATATTTAAAAACCTTTGAAAAGTAAATATATATAAAATATTTCATTTTCGATTTTTCCTTCGATTACTATAACTTACCCTACGGGAAGTTAAAAACATGAAACGTAACCCATATTCCATTTATTGGAATTTGTATTGACTATATAGGTCGAAAGACTAAAAAGGATTTGGATTGTATTATACCATGTTTTCCATAGAAAATGTATAAAACTTCCAGTTTGATTGTATTTACAATATATGGATAAACGAATATTGTTAATACAAATTATATAATATTGAACAAGTAGACTTTGGGGTTTATTGTTCTTATAATACCTCATTGTCTATTCTATAGCATTCAAACAACACATCCTTACACACAAAAAATTATTTTTTTTGATTCTCTAGAAATTGTGTAGAATTATCTTACTCAGCAAAACAACATTTACCGGGTCAGCTAGTATATATATATATACGAGGTCTGTTCAAAAAGTACCCGGAATTTTCGTTTTTTCAAAAAAATATTTATTTATTCGTCTACATTAATGTGGTCCCCTTCAAAGTAGTCCCCCCCAGATATAATACACTTATGCCAGCGTTTTTTCCAATTTTCGAAGCACCCTTGATATTCACTTTTTGATATGTCCTTGAGCACTCTCAGCGATTTTCTTCAATCGAGGAAAACCGCCGTCCTTTCATGGGTCTCTTCAACTTTGGGAATAGGAAAAAGTCACACGGAGCCATATCTGGTGAATTTTTGCACTTTGCAACACTTTATTTCATTTTTACGCAAAATTTAATACAAATTCTTTGACTTTTCAATTCTTCCATTGTAAAAATCGCCGAGCTCAGAAAAACACGTCGAACCTTAGCGACTACCACAGACAAAGTAAACAGTGAATATAGCTGAAAATTTCATCATACTTTAGGGGCATGTATACCAACACAATAAAAAAAAAATTTTGACAATCAGACACTCCAGACCCGCGAAATTTAATTATTAGTAATTCCGGGTACTTTTTGATATATAACTGTTGTTTAGGTATATGATGGCTATTTCGTCCATTTCTTTGCACCCGATGATCTGAAATCATTGCCAAAACATGTGGTATTTGTTTTGGACACTTCTGGATCTATGCACGGAAGAAAAATAGAACAACTTAGAACTGCAATGAGCGCCATTCTATCTGATTTGAAACCAGAAGACTTCTTTCATATAATCAACTTTAGTTTTGCTGCAAAGGTATGGTTTTATTCATTATTTTTATATACAATATTTATATTTTATTTATATGTACAATAAGCATCTTCAAGATGCTTATTGTACATATAAAAATAGGTTTTCTAGTTCATTTAGCTTAAAAGTTTTATTTTTTATTTGTAGAAAATTTAGGTACAATTTTCACTTTAAGCTCTAATATTTTCAAAAAATAGATTTTAAAATAAAGCCCAAAAAATCACGAATAGCAAAACAATCTGATATTTTCAAAACTTTAAATTTTTCAAAAAAAATTATAGTGTACGGGAACTTTGAGCATTTTGCCTTAAATTTTCACGATGCGATGCACCACTAACTATTATTATTATTATTGTTATTATTACTATTATTGTTATTATTACTATTAAATTATATATGTGTGTATGTAAATTTAAACGTTCGTAGAAATAATTGATGATAAAACCGAGTTGAACCATTATTAAACCATTTTATAATCATAAGCGTTGGTCATGCTTGAGTCATAAATCCAACACGTCATAAATAAGGAAATAATAATTAAAGGCATAAGTGTATGGCCTCGCAGTGTGTTTGCAATCAAATAAATCGATTGAGATTCTTTTAATACAAAACATATGAATAACAAAGTGAAAATTGATTTATAGTTTAAATTAAAAACTTTCAATGATTGATAGTATGTGAAGTATCACCAAACCTTTTGAAATCACTATATTTGAAATCACTATTTTAAAACTATTTTTTCTCAAATTGATACAGGTTTGGAATCTTGATGATCCTAGCACTAGCCCATCTTATTCCAGTCCTAATGTACATTGGTGGGGTCCTAAAGAAGAAACTAATGATAAAGAAAATCCACCGCCGGCAGCTTATCCAGCGAACGAAAATTATTTGTCCAAAGCAAAGGAAGAAGTTTCGAAACTTGAAGCTAATGGAGGTGAAGATAAATAAGACATTTAAATGAAACCATCGAATAACTTCACGTGAAGTGTAATAATAAGATTCGATATAAACTGATTATATAATAAACGGATGAACGTTTTTTTGTTTCAGGTACCAACATATATGATTCTTTGGAGATTGCAATGAGGGTTGCTAATAGAGGTGTCGATTCAGAAAAATTAACCAGGTAAACAGAACAATACTATAATTGCTTAAAATTAAGCACTTTATATTCTTCTACAACATAGCCTTGTTCTGTGCATTTTTATGCATATTTCTAAGATTATGTATAGATTTAGTTTTGTGGTGCGGATTTCTAATCAGTATATTTAGATAACAATCCAGGTTTTATTTTTTACCGATCGTTCGATTGAAAGTTCTGCTGATCTTTTTACTAGTTTATGGCTTTGTGAACCATGTTAATTTGACTTTACATTAGATGAAATATTTTTGAAATTTGCAATCATAATAATTTTCAAGTAATATAATTTTTGCACCTGATACATTATACATTTTAAGCCATAAGTTTACTTACTTTTTATGCCATAAAAAGTAAGAATGCGTAATCTAACAGTTATCATCTATTTTATAGTATAGGGTTATGAAGAACTATTTGCAGGAATTCTTAATTTATGGTTTGTTTGTCTTATCGATTTATTTTATCTTTTTTATTTTGGTGTATCATCACAACACAACAGATTTTTGCACCCTTGCCGCTCTCAAATAGAATTCGGCTTTGTTTAAGATCTTTCTTAAGCATTTGAATTAACACACATTTTGTCATTCCTGGTTTCATAGCGATATCCTGTAAGTAAAGCTGATCATAAATAAAAATTCTCGAAGTTATTGATATGTCGATACTGATTTTATTTATATGTTGATATTCAGATTAAAGTTGTAAATTGGTTACAATTTAAGAAAAATCCAAGGGGTTTACGTGTTTTGTTGACCAGCTACTATTCATTTAGATTGATCAGAATAGACATTATTGAGCTTTCTGGCCTTCTTCACGTCCATATCGTCTTGGTTTAATGCATTCTTCCGTAAGTGTATTTTAGTCATATAGTCATAGATCTGGCAAAAACTTTTCGCAAACGTGTGGGAAAATATCTTAATATTGAAAAATACATCTTTTTCTAAAATTCTAAATAAATGGAATTTGTAAAAATCATTTCTTTCACAATTTAAAAAAAAAAATATATTTCGTAACTTCATAATATTTTTATAAGAAAAATCCTTGGATGCTTTTATTTTATCTTTCTTATCTTTTCTTTATACATATACCTATGTTTCAATTATGATCATACACATAGGTTATATGTAGAATACGTTCCTTGGTCTATTTAATAAGCACTTATGAATTCACAGTATTTAAAATAATCTATTTGTGAAATCAATTAAAGTAATTGTTATTATTTATTTACTAATTTTTATTGATTATTATTGATTACTTTTATTCCTCGAATATTTAATTATGGTAAGGGAGGCTTCAGAAATTTTCTCTAAGGCACGGTATAATCTACCTTTAGTTTTATTTGAAATACTTATCTTTAAGAAATTGACCCTGAATGCCAAGAATGGTTTCCTTAATGAGCGGAAAAGCTTCATAGAAACATTGAAACTAGCGGTGCACGGCGTTGTGCCTTAAGTCAAATTTTTTGTACTTCCCGTACCGTAATTAAATATTCGAGGAATGAAAATAATCTTCATTCAATAAAAATTGATCAATGATTAATAACAATTGTTCTAAACATTATTAAATAAATTATTATAAATACTACAAATTTTATCATTTACGCAATTTACCTTATCACGCAAAATACTTAAGTATTTCTTAATTTCAAAGATACGATGACAGATACAGACTTTAGACCAGTGATTCCCAACCTTTTTTGGGCCCCGCCCCACCTTGAGGTTTATAAAAACGTTATGCCCCCCCATACAATTTTAATTTTATTCTAACAAAAATGTGAATGATAAATTTTAAGATGAAATCGCTATTAAACATCATAAGTAAAATTTCGGAATAAGCCAACAAACAGAAATTTCAAAATTAATTTTATTACTGTTTTTTCGAAATTCATTTATTGCAATACTTAGGCCAAAATAAAGATTTTATATTAAGTTCTAACTTACAACTAGTTTTTATTAGCAAAAACTGAATTAGGCATAATTTGACACCAACATGATTTTTTTTTAAATCAAGGTTTTAAATCAGATGGTTTGTGATCAGGCATATTTGGTGGATATGGAGAAAAATTTCAACCAACCCCCAATAATTTTTAAACATTGCCAAATTGTTTCTATTAGCCGAATCGATTATTGCGTTAATTAGGTTGTCCAAAACTTTAACTGGACAATCAGAGCAGGATTGAGTCAAAAAAGTCGAGTCGATCCGGCAGAAAAAACTCCGGCACCAGGAAAGCAAGGTTGAAAACTAAAACCGTCCCGGTCAAACCGGGGCACCTTATTATTCTAAATCTAAGAACCATTTTTTGTTAAATGTTTTACCGATACTATACTACATTACATTAAAATTACCAAAGTTTTCAAATTGCTCTCTTGAAATTACAAATTGCCCCCCGATGGAGCGTGCGCTCCACGTTGGGAAACACTGCTTTAGAGTCTCTCATATTTTTAAGATTGATTTGGATTAGACTAGGCATATAAATATGGGGCGTCCATTATCACGTGATCGATTTGTTTAGGATTTTTGAGCCTCTCGCCTCCTTGGTGATACGTGATGGTATTCAAAATTAGCCCCCTTCCAACATCAGGTGTATTTTTGAAGAAAAAGTTTGTTTTTTTTTAAAAAAAAAAAACATAGAGTAAAAAATGCATACACGTGATATCTTACTATACCCCTCTTCTGCACTACATAATCTAATACGGAACTTGCACCAGTAATGCTGTAGGAAAAGATTACTGGCTTAACCTCAGATAATTCATTTGCCAGCATAGCGAAAACTACATATATCTTTATCTTTAACAAGAATTAACTTTCAGTTAAAATTATATTATTACTATAAAATATTCGAACTAGAAAGATGATGCAGAATTGGAAGAATCATCATTTGTTTCAGCCAGAACGATAACATGATCATTAAGACTAATATCCAAAAGAAGTTTCTCTGAGGCTTTGCAGGAAATTGAAAATTAGTAAATGCCCATCAATTCAAGTTCAAGTCTTTTTTCATTTACTAATTTTATACACATATAAGTTCTTAAATTTTTTAAACCGAAATTATTCTTTTTAGCGGAGTACCTAAACCGGAACCTTTAATTATTTTCTTGACTGATGGTGATCCAACCGTTGGAGAAACTGATCTTAACAAAATTTATACCATGGTAGATGAAAGCAAAATCAGTGATAAACCTCCTACTATTTTTTCTCTGGCATTTGGTAAGTCATTCAAGAAAATACTAACATTTTATTTATTAATAAAAATATGTATTGAAAATTATACATTTGATATCATTTAAATTTACCCTCTGTTATCATTATATATTATTGAAATCTATTAAGTGCAGTTTCTTATATTAGGTGATGATGCAGATAGAAACTTTTTGCGCAAAATTTCTTTACGTAATGGAGGATTTCTGCGACATATTTATGAAGCTGGTGACGCATCTAGACAATTGCAAAACTTTTACCGTGAAGTATCCTCTCCTTTGTTAGCGGGTGTTAAATTTACATATCCCTCGGATCAGGTATGATATTTTTTTCATTTCTATCATCGACTTTACGTTGAATTAAAACGTTCGATAAATTATTGGTATATACTATTTTGGAGTGGCATTTGCTTTAAGGCAAGTTGGATGAACTTTCCGATACGTATATGATCAAGAACTAAATAAGCAATAATAATTGAGATTTATCTTTTTAGGTAAATTATTTACTGTTTATATCAATTTTTTTTTTTTGATTTTCTATACTATTTCGAATTGTTGCTTTTTATTAACTTCCCGTAGGGTAAGTTATAGTAATCGCAAAAAAATCGAAAATGAAAATTTTTATATATCTTTACGTTTCAGAGGTTTCTGAATATTTTGGCATACCTTAGAAAAAATGGATGTATGTGTGTGTGTATGTGTGTGTGTGTACGTGTATGTGTGTGTGCGGATACAAATTTTCGTCGACGATTTCGGGAATACGGATGAAGCAATTTGAATAATTTAAAAAACATTCGATCCGCATTCATAAGGAGACGTGCTGATTAGTTTTTGGTGGAGGTAGGTCTAGCCGTTCCGAAGATATGGGGCAAAAAGTGCCAAAAACGGTACCTCAGTTTTTAAGAGAACGGAGCGTCCGATTTTAATAACTCAAAAAATATGTTACTTGTATTGACAAGATGAAGATTTGATCAAATTTTTATAAGGGCAGGTCTAGCGGTTTCGGAGATCTAACGAAAAAAGTAAAAAAAAAAGACATTTGGCGGTCAAAAATGATCATCATTTGCACATCAAATTATCAGATATTTTATAGAGATTTTAACAGTAAGAATAAATTTTATTTACATTCCTATGGGTTCCGTACCAATGTTTACCCGTTAGACAGCGACGCGGCGCTTACGCGCTTTATATTTTGTCTCTATGCAGTTAAAGCAGTACGATTGCTTTGAAAAAAAGTTCAGATCTTCCAACATATGTCAAAATAAAATAAACATTTTTTTTCAAAAAAAAGTAATTTTTTGTCAAATTTATAGTTTCTCAAAAATCTTATTTTTTCGAAGTAATTTTTTTTCAAAAATGTTAATCGTTTAAAAAAAATAATTTTTGGTACGGGAAGTTCCAGCAATTTGCCTTAAGGCACGATGCCCTAATTGCCTCAAGACAGAATTCCACTTACAGCTAGTTATATTTATACTTGCAATTGCATAAATTAAATTAATTTAACACATTACATTTAATCTACATAGTGACAAAAAGTTTCCGGAAGTTCTATATAAATCGTAAAATAGTTAACCTCCATCAATATTTTTTTTTTTGTCTTCTTCAAAAATATACCCCTTCTGAAGCAATATACATACACCAACGCTTCTTCGAAACTTCGAAACAATTTTCATAGGCATTGGTCGGTAGTTTTCTTATTGAAATATAATGTATTTATGATGAATATTGTTTATGTTTATAAAACGTGTTTTCAAATTTCTTTAATATATATATATATATATATATATATATATTATTTATTAACTTTCCGTAGGGGAAAAATTTTTACATTTCTCGACGTTTTGAAGGTTTCTGAACGTTTTGGCATACTTCAGAAAAAATGGATGTGTGTGTGTATGTATGTATGGATACAATTTTTCGTCCACGTTTTCGGGCAACGGATCAATCGATTTGAATGGTTCAAAAAACATTCGATATCTATCGATAGGGAGATGTGCTGATTAGTTTTTGGCAAAGGCAGGTCCAGCAGTTGCAGTTATGGATATAAAGAGCAAAGAGTGCAGAAAATAAAAACTGAATTTTTTGAGAGAACGGAGCATCCGATTTGAATGATTTAAAAATTCAATTCGTAATGATGGGGAGAAGTGGTGATTAGTATATGGCAAAGGCAGCTCCAGCGGTTTCGGAAATACAGCTAAATGTGCAAAAATGGTAGTTTTTGAGGGAACAAGCGTCCGATTTGAATGATTCAAAGAACTTTCTGCTTGTTTTAACAAAATAATTGATTTTGGAAAAAAAATGTTTCAAATTTTTTTTTTCAAATATTTTTTTTCCAATTTTTTTTATTTTTTTTTCTGTATATCGAAAATAATTCAGATTTCTATTTTAATTCTGTTCTAATATACCTTAAACAAATAATTTCAACTTTCCAATTCAGTTTATGTAATTTTTATAAATATTAGACAATGTTACAATATTTATAATAATCTATTTTAAAACATTTAATAATCCTCGATCATCTCGTTACAGTACGGGAAGTTCCAGCAATTTGCCTCAAGGCACGATGCCTTAATTGCCTTAAGACAGAATTCCACTTACAGCTAGTTTATTTTTTTTGTTGTACATTTCTAACTTCAATGTGTCACATTTAGGACATTCAGTAATTGTTTTGACCTTATTATATGGATTTCTGAACCGAATATTTGCTGACATTTTTATTATATACTAGCTGACCCGGCAAACATTGTTTTGCTAAGTAAGGTATATTCTAAACAAGTTCTACAGAATCAATAAAATTAATACTTTAAGTGTATAAGGATGAGTTGTTTCAATGCTATATACAATGAGGTATTATAAAAACAATAAATCCCATCAGTTTGTCTATATTTTATCAGTACTATCAAAATGGAAGATTTATACACTTTCTATAGGAAACATAGTATTATGCATCCAAGTCTTTTTTGGTCTTTCGACTTATTGATTACGTTTCAAGTTTTTCAGATTCTTTTTCGAATCTGGATTTTGTGTATAATTGTAAATAATACTACTGAACTTATACACAATTTTCAAATTTTTGCGAGGAGAGATAGAAAATAAATATTTGAAATTTACTTTACTGATTTTTGACACATCGGTGGTGGACCTTTTTAATCCCGGACCTTCATATATTACTATCTATTCTGCGATAAGTTCTGGGAAATTATAACTGAAAAAATATTATTCGACAAAATGTCCATTTGATCGATACCAAATTTAGGTTCTGAATTTAAATAACATAAATAAAAAATAATATAACCTAGAAAGTATTTTATAAATACCAATGAGTATATAATTATACAAATGAGATCTTTCAGAGCATCGTGTTAGAGAAAAATATGCCAAAAAGTGCATTTTCATATTAACATATTAAAAAAGTTTATATTTTGAGTCTCTAGTAACACTTGCGGCCCGTTTACTAACGTTTTTGTATATAAATAAAACTACAAACAAAACTACTTACTACAAATTTATCATAATTAAATAATATTCGCGTAAAACATCCTATTAATCGTAATTGAACATCATCTGTCAAAAGTGTTTGACATTTCACGAAATTGCCACCGTCCATTGTTTTATTTGAATTGCGCTTCTACAAAAATTTTCAAATTAAAAATGTAAAGTTTCTACGCGGATTTGAAATAATTTCTCACCTTTTGGACTTTCTCTTGATTGGCACGAATTTTTCAAGATTAAGACTGGCCAAATCGATTCAGCCGTTTTCGAGCTTTATTCGGACATTTGAAAGAGAGCTCCATTGTTATATATAAGATAAGCAACTATATCGATGAGAGGCAATTTTTACTTGAGGCTATATTTGAGATCTATAACCTCAAGTGGAAATTTGACATCAAAGTTGCACGATGTCGGGCTTTGGCGGTAGTGGGAATCGAACCAGCGAATCCAGGACTAGTTAGTGCTAGATATATTTTGTAAAGTAATAATTTATCCCGAGATGTTCGATAACCTAATAAAAATGATTTCTTCGACAAAATTCTTGTTATTAAGATATTTATTGTACATAAAAATTGCAGATAGATGAACAATCACTGACGAGGCGGTCCTTCCCACATTTATTTATGGGCTCTGAACTAGTGGTAGCCGGGCGCATGCAATCCGACGCTGTAGAATTAGAACCAGAAGTGAAAGCTGTTGGAGCCTCCGGTTCGTGGTCAACTACGGGAATTGTCAAGTCTCCGGTAAAATATTATTAATCAAATATTTTTAACTATTTATATTTTTAAATAGAAAATCAGTTTGCGTTGCTCAATTCATTGCACTACGTACCTTATCAGTATTTTGTTAAAAGGAATTGCTATCAGTTAATAATCTGATTTTATAATAAAATAATGATTTATTATAAAATAAGAGTGTTATATATTAATTGTGTTAAATATATCAGCAAGGGTACACATCATATACAATGCTCATACGGTTTTGCATAATCGAAATAAATTTAATATTTATTAAATAAAATACTAAATTGTGTTTAATACAAAGAATTCCACATTGTTTAACTGTTAAATAGTAAAATTCTATGGAGTATGCGTATGTATTCGTCAACAATTCACACGCCAGTTCTGAATTTATTTTAGCACAGTTTCGTAAAGAATCAACAAATTCAACTAGTTCATCAACATGTTGATGTTCTATTGACTGCAGTCATTAGAAAATACTAACACCGTCAACAAGTGTAAAGGAAATTAAAGCTAAATCTAGCAATTTGTAACCTATTATTATATATTTATATTATTTATAATATATATATTTTTTTCTATAAAACCTCTTATGTTGATAGATATCATGGTCCTAAAGAACATACTAAAATTTTACAGTCCTACGACAAGTAGTTTAATTTTAAAAGTTCATCAAAGTTTGATAAAATATTATAGTCAAAAGTTGCTTTTGTGATGTGATGACTTAAACATTGTCAATTCATTAAAATTTGGAATAATACGCTACAATTTTAGGACATACAAAGCACGTGTTGTGCTTTATAATTAATATAATTACAAATTTAAATGTGTTTGAGATATATCAATTCGAAATAGCAATGTTTAGATTTAATTGAAAGCTAATACTTTATTTTCGAAATATACAGCCAAAATAAAATTTTTACTAAATATAAAAGTCTCAATTCCCGTTGATCAAGTCAATTATTACACATTTCGGAAAAATCGTGCAACTTGCCACTTTCAACTAGTTTACAAGTGCCTTATATATACTAGATTCGAAATTTTTGTAAAATTAAATATTAGTTTTTTAACTTCCCGTAGGGTAAGTTATAGTAATCGTAAAAAAACGAAAATGAAAATTTTATATATCTTTACGTTTAAATTTTCGTCCACGATTTCGGGAACACGGATGAAGCGATTTGAATAATTAAAAAAAACATTCGATTCGTATTGATAAGGAGACGTGCTGACTAATTTTGGCGAAGGCAGGTCTAGCCGTTCCGAAGATATGGGGCAAAAGTGCCAAAAACGACAACTCAGTTTTTAAGAGAAAGGAGCGTCCGATTTGAATAATTCAAAAAACATTTTACTTGTATTAACAAGATGAAGAACTTATTGAATTTTTGGGAAGGCAGGTTCAGCGGTTATGGACTCTAAATAAAAATAATTTTAAAAAGTGTCATTTGGCGGTAAAAATGTTTATTGGACATATGTACATCAAATTATCAGATATTTTATAGAGATTTTAATAATGTGTACACATTTTTTGGGTCCTGTGCCAAGATTTTTAATTACGGGGAAGTTCCAGCAATTTTCTTCAAGGCACGATGTCATGCCCCCCACTAGTTTTAGTTATAGTTGATATATATTAGCTCTGTAATTTATAGTCATTTGACTCTAATTGTTATAGTAAAATGAAATAAAAATAATAAAAGACAACATTTTACAGATTGCACCAATTCGAGTACAACACAACCCGCTCCATTAGAAAGGCTTTGGGCATATTTGATGATCAAGCAATTGCTGGACGAAAAGGATTCGCAAATCGATATTGATTCAACCCATAAAGTCGATGAGGTGCCACATGCCGAACGAACGCTTTGCAACCAACTAATACGAAAGATACGGCCAAAGGACAGGCTTTGAAACTTGCACTCAAGGTGAGATGCATTAATTAATAAATGAATAATAATAAATAAATAATAAATAAATTGCTGGAACTTTCCGTACCAATTTTTTTTTTAAAGATTAAATTTTTGAAAAAAAATTACTATTGAAAAAAATTACTTGTTTTTGAAAAAAAGACTTTTTGAAGAAAAGTGTATTTTGAAATATTTTGGAAATTCTGAACTTTTTTTCAAAACAATCGTACTGCTTTAACTGCATAGAGACGAAATATCGAAGCGCGTAAGCGGCGCGCCTCCGTCTAACGGATAAGCATTGGTATGGAACCCATAGAAATGCAAAAAAAATATACTTATTTATTAAAATATCTATAAAATATCTGATAATTTGATTTGCATATGTCTAATGATCATTTTTGACCGCTAGATGGCATTTTTTTTACTTTTTTACTAGATCTCAGAATCCGCTAGACCTGCCGTGATGTAGATGATCACTTGGTCATCTTGTTAATACAAGTAAAATGTTTTTTGAATTATTCAAATCGGACGCTCCGTTTCTTAAAAACTGAGTTACCGTTTTTGGCACTTTTTGCCCCATTTCTTCGGAACGGCTAGAATTGCCTTTGCCAAAACTAATCAGCACGTCTCCTTATCAATACGAATCGAATGTTTTTTGAATTATTGAAATAGCTTTTCCGTGTTTCCGAAATCGACGAAAATTTGTACCCGAACACACCACACACGCGCACACACACATACACACACATACATCCATTTTTTCTAAGGTATGCCAAAATGAGAAAAAAATGTATAACCAGCCTTCGTCTTAATTCCTACGACGTCGCTATCGGGAGGAGCTAAACAGCTATGTTTGAAAATCTATAACAAAAGTATTTTCTTTTTTAACTTCCCGTAGGGTAAGTTATAGTAATCGCAAAAAATCGAAAATGAAAATTTTTATATATCTTTACGTTTCAGAGGTTTCCGAATATTTTGGCATACCTTAGAAAAAATGGATGTATGTGTGTGTGTGTGTGTGTGTGTAGTATGTATGTGTGTGCGGATACAAATTTTCGTCGACGATTTCGGGAACACGAATGAAGCAATTTGAATAATTTAAAAAACATTCGATCCGTATTGATAAGGAGACGTGCTGATTAGTTTTTGGCGGAGATAGGTCTAGCCGTTCCGAAGATATGGGGCAAAAAGTGCCAAAAACGGTACCTCAGTTTTTAATAGAACGGAGCGTCCGATTTTAATAATTCAAAAAATATTTTACTTGTATTAACAAGATGAAGATTTGATCACATTTTTATAAGGGCAGGTTTAGCGGTTTCGAGATCTAACGAAAAAAGTAAAAAAAAATGCCATTTGGCGGTCAAAACTGATCATTAGACATATGCACATCAAATTATCAGATATTTTATAGAGATTTTAACAATAAGTAAAATTTTGTTTACATTGCTATGGGTCCGTACCAATGTTTACCCGTTAGACAGCGACGCGGCGCTTACGCGCTTTATATTTTGTCTCTATGCATTTAAAGCATACGATTGCTTTGGAAAAAAGTTCAGATCTTTCAAAATATGTCAAAATATAGAAAACATTTTTAAAAAAAAAAAATTTAAAAAAAAATATTTTTTTATTTTCTTTTTTTTTAATTTTTTTTTTCGAAAAAAAGTAATTTTTGTCCAATTTATAGTTTCTCAAAAATCTTATTTTTTCGAAGTAAATTTTTTTCAAAATGTATCGTTTTTAAAAGATAATAATTTTTGGTATGGGAAGTTCCAGCATTTGCCTTAAGGCACGATGCCCTAATTGCCTCAAGACAGAATTCACTTACAGCTAGTTTGTTACTTTTGGGTTGTTAGCACTGTTGTTTAGATTACGAGACTTCAATATAATTTTTAAGTATAGCGTATACTTAAATACTATAATTTAATTGTTTTATAAAATGTATTGTTAACATTTAGTTAGATTCAACCGTTTTTTATATAATTTTCATGAAAAAAAGACGTGGGTGGGGTAAGAAGGACCAACTGAACCTTTATCCTGGCAATGGTTGTAAACAATGAAAAAATAGTAAATAAAAAAGTAAATCAAGTTAAAACAGAAGTTTCACAAGTGATAAGTAAATAAATATTTATTCCAATCTTGCTGGTGATTTTTTTTATGAAATACACATCAAGGTTGTATACAGTATTATTTCTGAAAAAAATGTACTTTGAATTTTGTATTTTACATTGGTTGAATAATCTAGATATTATTTCGCAATTCTTCATAATTAAACATTAAATTATAAAATACCATAAATTAAACATTTGATCTTTTTACCTCGTGGCCGTCTCATTTTACCCCGTCCATGGGATAAAAAGGACCAGGTTACAATTTTTGAAAATTAGCAAAATTTACATATCTTTGAAATGATGAATTAGCTGGGATTTTTACTGAACATAATCAGATAGTTGTTTGTTTAATATGTGGTATTTGTTATGATGTAATTGGTTTGGTTGTCATAATATAATTGCTCAAAGTCAAAGCGACGAGCGTATTCTACAAGACTTTTAACAGCTATGGTAATGGTAACAGTTCAAAAATTGAAAATGGAAATTTTTGCATATTTATAAAAAATTAACTTTTTGCCATACCTTATAAAAAATTTGATGTTTGTGTTTTGTGTAGATACAATTTTTCGTTCACGATTTCGGACTCATGGGTTTTGCTTGTATTGACTAAACATCATTTAAACTTCAAATTTGTTTTTTTCTTGTTTTCATTTCCAACAATAATTTTTTATCGAACATAATTTAGATATTAATTTTATTTCTAGCTAATTTCTAAAGCCTATTTATATATTAAAATAAATAATTTTAACTTTGCAATTCATTTTATATAATTCTTAAAAATAAGAGAAATTCTCTTCATTTGCTTTTCATGTAAACTATTAGAAACATTATCGTCTAATTCACAAGCTTTTATATTGCATCTATAAATACGAATAATGAAAGTTTCAGTGCTTACAATAATATATAAGAAAACTTTTGAAATTTTTCGATTATTTTATTACGGTACGTGAATTCCAGCAATTTGCCACCAAGTTTCGAAAACTTGATTTTTTTGAAAATATTGATTTTTAAATTTAAAAATAAAAATATTTATAATTGAGAAATAAAGAAAATTTTAAATTTTCGGAATAATTCTTTTTTTAATTTTGATTTTTATGAAAATTTAAAAAAAAATCAGACTAGTTTAATTCAAAAATACTACGTGTGGCGTAGAATTTTATCAATCTTTGAACTTAAAAAAAAACGACTTCTTTGAAAAATTAGAAATTTTTAGGAAATTTGAAAATTTTGTTTTTTTTAATCTAGTTTTTTTTTAAATCCGTTTTGATAATTAAGTTAGTCGTAGGGTAAGTTATAGTAATCGCAAAAATGGCAACTTTTTTTATATATCTTTACGTTCACAACTTTCTGAACATTTTGGTGTAATCTGCTTTTACAAAAATTCTTGATTTGTCAAACAGCTCGTCTCCTTGTCAATTAGTACTGAACGTTTTTCGAACAATTGAAATAGGTTAATCCGTGCTCCAGAATAGGTTGAACGAAAAATTGTATTCACGCATAAATACATACAC